CTCCTCCACCCTCTGCTCCCAGGAAGACAAACATCCTCAAGAGGCTTCTCAGGAACAGCTTTGGGAAAGATTTCCCCTTATGAGAAACAAAGGCCTTGAGGACTTTGTTTCAGCTGGGTTCTCGCTCAGGGTGTCTGGCTCCACGTACACTGACCTTAGAGAGGATGTTAATGTTCTCCCACTATAAATGTTCATGTATTTGTGCAACAGTCAGATTGCAGTCTTGGAAAGTCTCATTTCATCTCATAAAACTTCCTGGAAAACTCCATAAAAGAAAACACTGCATCCACTTTAATTACAAAAGGCCTGGGAAGTGAATATTTAGTTTGTTTACATTTTGACATCCTCCTCGGTTCAATACCATAACAGCAATGTGTGTGTGTGTTGGGCTGGAAATTTTTTATATGTGTTGTCTAATTTTCTTTATTACTTCCCTTTTTGAAGAAATAGGGAAGAGGGAAGGGCAGAGTTACCCCCTCACAAACGGTTACTGCTGGGGCAGCCCATGGAGCCATTTACCAGCAGGGGAATTGTGGAAATGAGGAAGAGGCCCTGCCTCATGAAACAGAAAAGTATAACAGAGGAAGCTAAGAAGGAAGAAATGAAAAATCAATATAAATGACCAAAAGTAAAATTCATGTTTTTAAAGAGAGACCAGGCAGATGAACAGTTAATGCATCAGAGAACAACCTGTTAAAATCCCAGAATGGTTTGGGTTAGAAGGGACCTTAAAGCTCATCCAGTGCCACCCCTGCCACGGGCAGGGACACCTTCCACTATCCCAGGTTGCCCCAAGCCCTCTTCAACCTGGCCTTGGACACTTGCAGGGATCCAGGGGCAGCCCCAGCTGCTCTGGGCAGGCTGAGCACCCTCAGCTCTCCCAGCCTGTCTCCAGAGGAGAGGAGCTCAAGCCCTCAGAGCATTTCTCAGAGAAATCTTTGTGTTCATCTATTTTGTCCTCATTTCCATCCTTCTATCCTAGGCAGAAGCTATATCCCAGAGATGTCTGTGCAAGCCTCAGATTGATCCCGAGCTGTGATTTTGAGGTGTCCAGGCCCAGCTGGGTGGCCCTAGTGGCTGATGTCTTGCCTGAACTCAGGCACACCCTGGCACAGAGCTGCTATCCTGTGCCCAGCCCTGTGCTGGGCAGAGCTGCAGGATCAGAGGTGGGGGGGGAGGGGATACTGGAGTCCCCATGGCCCCTCCTTTGGGCACCACAGCAATGGTGACCTGCCTGAGCCAGGCCCCAATTTCTATTGCCTGTACAACAGCCATGTCCCTTTTGCTGTCCTCAGTGACCTTTTAGCCATGCCATGGCTCTGTGCCATACCTGGGGCTGGCACACACCTCCCACACTGACCTGCTCTGGGCCCCAGAGCAAGCCCAGCCCCAACCCTGCCCCCCTGCTTTTTGGGATCAGGTAAAACTCAACCCCATACCTAACAGCAAACCCTGTGAGGATGTTGGCACCTGGCAGGTGTCCTGCCCAGGCACAGGACATTCTCCACAGCCCATTTTCAGTTCATCACTGGCAGCACCCCAGAGAGAGGACACCTGCTCATCCCTTCTCACACTTGGGACAAGAAGCAGCAGCTTTTAGTGGGCTTTTTCCTCCATTTTGCACAAAGCAGCTCCACTCCTTGTTTTCCAAAATCTTTTAGGATCACGTACTACAGAGTCTCCAGCCAGAGCTGTAAATCCCTGTGTCCTGCAGATGAGACACCCTCCTGAGCATAGGTAACAGGAATAGCACGAGTCCACCCTTGAGGACAGTAACTGTGGCCCTCCTCCAGGGCTCCCAAAAAACAGAAGTCTTTGTTGGTTGATTCTGGATCCACAGCACCAGGTTTGTGTTTAACCCTTCCACTTCCTCAGACTGTCTAGAGTTCTGTCTTCTATTACCAACAGAGCTAAAAAAGATAATAGAAGAAATGAACAGTAAGAAAAACCATCCTGAAAACCTTCCATGCTCAGCTGCTTGTGGGTTCATCCTCCTGCTTCTGCCAAAGCTGCCTTTTGGGGTGACAGATGAAAGCATTTTTTGGAAGGTGTGTGCACTTCCCTACTGGGAATAAATCATCACTTTTTTAACCCAGGATTTGCTTCCAGGTGTTTCCCATAGGCTGGAGGAAGAGGTTGAAAGTGTGAACAGAAAGTGCTAAAGAAACAATAAATACAGACTTTAATGGGGCTTTGGCACAGGGGCCCCCACCAACACTGGCTGTGCCAGAGGCTGCCCATTCATAAGGAATTTGTTCTCCACTAACCCTGTGGCAGCAGATTTCCCTCTTCTCCCAGACTGGACTCTAGAAAATCTTTTGGGAAGTCACTTGATTCATCTTGTGCTTCAGATCGCTATTTAGTAACATTTAGATTGCAAAAGCCCTCTGAGATCATCAGGGCCAACTGTTCCCCATGGCACTGCCAAGGCCACCACTGACCCATGTCCCCAAGTGCCACATCCACAGGGCTTTCAAATCCTTCCAAGGATGGGGACTCCCCCACTGCCCTGGGAACAGGATAATTCTTACACAAGAACTCTCAATTCTGAAATCAGTAGGACTATCAGGACAAAATAAACGGGAGAGACAAGGCTTGTGTGGGGAGGGAAGGACAAGATAAACAGGAAAAAAAACCAAATAAAGATACCGAAGAATAGATTCCAGAGAGCTGAGGGTCCACTGAGTCAGTGGGGAGGCAAAATAAAAATCAAGCAGAGATGCACCTGAGACACCACAGAACCCCAGCATGGTTTGGGTTGGAAGGACCTTTAAAGCCCACCCAGTCCCAGCCCCTGCCATGGGCAGGGACACCTTCCACTGTCCCAGGTTGCTCCAACGTGGCCTTGGACAATTCCAGGACTGGGGCAGCCACAGCTGCTCTGGCAACCTGTGCCAGCCGATATGTTGCTTCTCTAGAGCCCAGCTGAGCTACAAGTTTTTAGGTAGGAAAAGGTCCATTGATAACACCAAATCCCCTAGCCTGGCCAGGAACCTCCCCTGGTGATTGCTCCTGTTATCTCCTCTGCTCCAGCTGCTTCCCCTGAGAACTGGTGACGGTTCCAGGCTCAGCTTCCCTTCCAGGCAGTGATCCCACACACAATTACTGCAGGGGTTAAGAAGTCAGACAGCCACACTGCACAAGAGCAGATCCATATGTCACCCTCCCAGCAGCAGCTGGGGCTCCAAATACAGAAATAAAGAAGAGAGAGGGAAGAGGCCAACAGCTCCAGGCTGTCTGCCGGGACAAGAAACACTGAATGAATGCACCTCTTGGTTTTTCCTTGCTGTAACACAAGAGAAAACACTGACAGGATGATGAAGCTCCCAACCAGATATATCTGAGGGCATGGAACCCTCCCCCTTTTGGGGCAGGTTGAACAGACCCCAGCCAGGAATGCTGGAGGTGGAAACAGCCTTGGGAAGGGCTGTGCAGGGGCCTGGGTGTGTCCTCAGGTTCAGCTGCAGCTCTCATTTCTACAAAGGCTAGGACTTTCCTGTAGGATTTGGCCCCAAATCCACAGATTTGAGCCAATCCTAATCAACCTAGAGAGTCAGAGCTCCCAAAACAGGGACTGGACTGAGCTGAAGCTCCTCAGCAGGGGGTGTGACAACAGGGTAGTGCAGGCAGCAGGGACATCAAAACTCAACCCTCAGTCCTTGGGCAGGACTTGCTCCTTGAGGGCAGCCATGATCCTGATATTTCACAGGGAAACAGCCAAAGGGCACCGGTAGGTGACAGTTCAAGCACTGCGCAGGGCTCAGGTACACCCAGGAGAGTGGAGACAGCAAACAGGAGCTGTCACTATTGGGAACAGTGAGAAGAACAGCACCGACTGACTCTCTTGGGAGTCAAACAGGAGAATTTCTCTCCAGTTCATTACTTCAGATCTTTTTTTATAGACGGATACATGAAAGTACAGAAAAGTAAAACTCTTATTGGTTAATGAACTAACACATCACCATCATTGGTCACCATCACCATGAATGGTCAGTGGGGTTCACCACCCCTTGACTTTCTCTTGCAAGAAAACAAGAAACTGACAGCGCCTGCAAGGCTGTTTTCTATCTCTGAGGATTGTTTTAATTCCTCCTTATGATTTCTTAGGCCACTTTCTCAGGCAAGACTGAGAAAGTTATGCAGCCTGCTATTCCACACTGTGCACAGGGCACTGTGCTCCCTGCTTCATAGTTAGCATCCACAAGGAGCAGCTTGGGACACAGCCAGAGCCACCAAGAGCTGCAGCCAGGGGCTGCTTCCCACCAGTGACACCCCTGGTACCTGGGTGGGTGACACTGGCCCAGATCTGCCACCACATAGTCCAGCAAGCCCCTCCAAAGCCCAGCAGAGCCCACCAGCCCTCTGGGGGGGCAGAGCTGTCACCACCTCCCTCCAAAGGGACCCTCACAGCCTCCAGCTCATGCCAGGATTACAAGGCCCAATCCCTGTGGAAGGATCCATCCCTTTTCCAGCCTCCTGCCCATGCTCCTGGAAGGGCAAGCTCAGCAGCTGGAACAGGCTGTGCCAGGGGGGTGTCCCAGTGCTGCCAGGAACTGTTGGCACTTCACCCCCTCTGGGAGGGCACTGCTATGTACCCTGCCCATCCCCATGGGCAGCATTTGGAGCTGAAAGAAGGAAGCTGGAGAACCTGATACATCCCTAGGACTGGTATGTGCAAAAACAAAACAGATCATTCAGTGCCACCACCTGGCACAGCATCACCAGCAATGCTGCTGCCTCCAAGGCTGCCATTCCCCCACAGCTTGGGATAACATCCACCTTTCCTCCTTCTGCTTTTCTTGGCCAAATAGGGTACAACGATGCACCCAGCTGCCCAACAGCCCCCCCAGAGCAGCCTGGGCTGGCAGAGTGAGCTGCCCTGTGAACATTTCTCCAGGTAGGTGTGTGTGACCACCCTCATCCTGCACCCCTTCCTGGGGCTCACAGGTACCCAGCCCAACACCTGCTGCTCTCAGTGCCAGCCGAGGGAGGAGGCTCTATTAAACAATGCAAAAAAGTACTTTATTTACCAAAACCACATTAAAACATTACAAAGACTGTTCTATCCTGCCTCAGCTCATGGTTCAAGATCCTGGAGGAGGCTTGTAGAGCTCACGCAGCAGCACCAGCTTCATGGCCAACACGACTTCACGGTGGCCAAGGTGGCTCCTCCTGCCATAGCGGGACAGCCGAGAGGCCTCCAGGGCCACATCCCCGAGGAGCTGGGGATTGCCCAGCCAGGCCAGCGCAGAAGCCACCAGGCAGGAATCCCCAGTGGAAGATGTCTGTGGGGAGAGCAACCAACAGCATCAGCACAGCCATCATCCATAGGGCAGCACAGCTAGCACCACCCAGCCCCACCTCATTTGGGATCACAGAATCACTCAAGCTGGAAAAACCCTACAAAGAGCAAATCCAAACATTCCCCCAGCACTACCAAGGCCATCATTAACCCACCACATCCACACATGTTTTAAACCCCACCAGCAATGGTGACACCACTGCCCTGGGTGGCCCTGCCCAGCCACCCCCCAGCTGGGATATGCAGGTGAACAGATGGAACACGGGAAGCAGGAGGCTGTACCCCAGCCAGCCGGGACTCACCTGGTTTAGGAGCTTGCAGATGTGGGCAAAATAAGCCACTTTCTTCTTCTGTCTGTGGACACGGAGGCAGCGGAGGCTCTGCCAGGCACATCCCTCTGCTGCCTCCAGGGGCTCAGGGAGGCCAGCAGCACCTAAGGGGCCATGCAGGGTGGGGGATCCTGGCTCCATCACTCAGTGCTGGGGTTACACACACGCTTCCCGTGGCTACAAAACTCTGCTGAGAGAAAACCAGTCAGGGGCTGAACACACCGCTGGCCTCACCCTGTCCTTGCCAGGACACTAATTAGCATCAGGCAAAATAGGCACCTACACTAACACCAAAGCTATTCAGTGCACTGCATAAACAAGGACAGAAACCAGCCCCTCTACAAAGCTAAACACACCAGAAATGCAAAGAAGGCATTTTAGGAGAGTTTTCTTCCCAGTTTACCTCTGAGAGCTCCTCCAATCTCGTCCTCCCCCAGGAGCAGAGAGGGAGCCGGTGTCTGCTGCCTATAACCGGGGGGGATCATTGCCTCCAGCTGGGAGGGGAGGGGAGGGGGCCCACGCAGCTGCTCGGGTGGGGATGGAGAGGGAGACAAGGACA